TTAATATATTATATAAAAATATTTTATATGTATTATACCACTGCAAAAGTGTTGCAGTCAGGTTGATACAGCTTATGTTCTCTTTACTTGTTTTCTCCTTTAATTTAATTTTAACATTTGTTAGTGTCTCTGCATAGCAACTTTTCCATTGAAACTGTAAACCCTGCAGTACCATGTGCATGCCTATTGGCAAAAGATTTTCTTTTTTGGTTTGTATGGACTCTTAGAAATAATTATGTACTAGGAGTTGGAAAATGAAATGTATTGGCATTGTCCTCCATCCAATAAGTAGGTATCCAACAAAGTATTGATGGAAGTGTTTTATTTTGCTGACTACGCTATGTTGATTGAACTATTTGGCAAATTGTTAATCTATATCATGAAAATAAATAGCTGGTAAATGCACAGTCTCATCAATATCTTTAAAAAATGAATTTGCTGCATGTACTGGAATGGGATCTACCCTATAAAAGCTGATCAATATTGTTGAAGAACCTAGTAACAATTTCAACATTTTCAGCTCATCCAGCTCCTATACATGAAGCTACAACTTCCTTGACTGAAAAGTTACAAGAAATACAGTTTCTCCCTGACTCTGATGGTGGTGCTGCGTGGCTGGCAGGCAGGCGGTGGTGGTGAGGTTGGGGGCTGACTGTCCATAGCTAGTGTCTGTGGAGCCACGGTGGTTGTGTTAGCGGAGTTCAGCGCTCGCTTTCTGTGCAAAAGGACCTGTGGGGGAAAGAAAGGTGCAGGTGGTCACTGTCCCAGAGCACCTCCAGGTAATGTAAAGGAAAAATTGTCTGCACATGTGTTCTTACACCACTGCCAGAGTTATACTGAGAGAGTAAAATTGTGAATGCTTTCCTGGAAGATGCTACATTGAAAGAGTAGAAGTCAATTTTTCAGTGACTGCTTTCAGTAGTCTCTTACGCTGCTCTTTGCCTGGTGTGGTGTGTGCTTAGTTATTGTGAATTGCCGGGAGCACGTAACAGTGCATTTGAGCAGCCAACAGCAATAAGTACGGGGAAGTCATTGGAAGCCACTGGTGATTTGATGAGGCAAATCTAGAGTAACTGAGAAAAGAGTCTAGCATTATTTCTGTCCAAAGCCTAAGTGCCTTCCAAACATGGCCTTTGGGCATAAAATGAAATGCGAAGGCTTTAAGGGCAGGCACAAAAGTTTCAGTACTGATAATGATTCAGTCTTCTGAACTTTGACAGTGCGTATGGATGGATGGCTTAGACTGCCATGAATGAAAGAAATATTCTTTTTAATCATATAAATCTGTCTTGTATTATAGGACAGTTAATGGAAGCTGGATTTAGCATTTATGCCTAGAGAAATTTGACACTTAGATATGTCTGTGATAAATGCACTAGAAAGTATAAGGGTAGCTACTCATTGCATATTCTTCTTAGGAGATTTAAAGAAAACAAAACGTATCATGAATCTCCACTCTAGTGCACTAGTGTTCTTCCTGGTACGACAAGCTGTGGTGTATAAAGGTAGCTGTATTATTTTATAAACTGAATCACTGGCATGAATCTTGTATAAACATTTTGCATATGGCCTAGGTTACAAGCTGGCGGTCTTGCTTGCTTTTTTTGATTTCTTCATACATCCCTTCTCTGGGAAGGTAAGGCTGAAATGTGTATTATTCCAGGGAAGTTTGGTCTTACCCCAATTCTGAATAAACTCACCATTCAAAGGTTTTATATTTTGGAAAACCTAGGGCAAATAATGAGAAAACTGAAATTCTAACAGGATGATGGATGCTTAAGATTAAAATCTGCCTTTTTGTTTGTATTTATATTTTGTAGTTTTTTAAGAATACTATTGGGGCCATTAGGGAAAAGTTGGTTTATGACAAGGTTTTGAAAAGTACAGCAGTGTTTAATCAGGTAATATACTGGGAGAATATTTGCTCTTTCAAATCCTTTGTATTTACCTTTTTTTCTCTTTCATTTTGTGGATTGGGACTAGAGTTGAGTTATTTCTTATGTGTTTTATTTGGTTGCGAACTGTCTGACTAGGTGTTTGTAATGATGCTTGCCTAGGCCCATGTGGACATCTCATAATGGGACTCTGATAATTGCAGTATTCTGCAAGGTTTTTCTGGGAATTCAACAACAGACAATATGAAAGGGACCAGACTATAGCTCCCATGTATGTACTTAGAAACACATATACAAATTCTCTTTTTAATAATTATTTTAAAACTGTTTCTAAAATATAAGTGTATTTGTGCACACTTGGATCAAAAAATCCTGTTTCCTTTCACAAGAAATGCATTTCACTGAGGAGAGAGGCACAGTGTAATGCCAATCCCACCAAACGCAGTGTTTATGTACATTTGTCTGTATGACTACTGGTTATAAAGTGGTTAAAAGCAAAGAAAAACAAAACAAAAAACCAACAAAAAACCCCTCATGTATCTGAATTTTTTTACTTATTTAACTCCATTTGTAATTACAAAATGTGTTTCTGTTATATGGAAGGCTTATAGTGTAGGTTTGTTTGGTCTTGACATCCCTTTCCACTTCCCTACTGGGTCACAAAAACAGAGATAAGTTCTCCTGTACTGAGACTTTTTCCAGCAGAAGAAGGACTGAATATTCTATGATTCCAAGTGTATATTTTACTCTACTTATTTCAATAAGCATAAAAGATACTTGGACTTTGTCTTGCTTTAAAGCACACCTTAGTATTGTGCAAAAACAGTTACATGTGTTTTAAAATACTTGCTGAACTGCTTCTGGGTTACAAATGCACCTTCCTATAAATCAGTGGTGAAGAGGAAGGTTCAGTCTTAAATTACTTGTTCATGTTTCTTGAATAAAATATTCATAATAATTAGAAAATGGAAATACCTCGCTTCTGTGTTGGGCCAGATGTTACCTCTTTGAGGCTAGCATCTTAAAATGACGTCAAGTTTTTGGCCTGGCTTTCGTACTCCTTCTTTCTTTTAAGAAACAGATCTGCTGTAAGTTACTCCCCTGATTTCTGCAGCCCCCAAAAGGGTAAGACAGGTATCACCAACAATGACATATCAGTAATTTTATTTTCATTTGTGACTTGAAGTATTTACAGGTAAATTTTAGACGTGAATTCTGTGTTGAAATTTTTGTGCTAGTAGAGACCCAAATGCCTCGAAGTTGCTAATATTATATTAGTGGAAAAAATCCAAATGTAAAATTACATCCAAATGAGGACTCCCACAGACTTCTGAAGTATGCTGTCCCTCATTAAATTAATTATAGTATTTCTTTACTGTCTTCAGGCTTCTGTGGAAAAAAATTGTTCCCACTATAGAGAAAAAGGATAAGAGCTGACTGAGAAAAGCTATGGTTCTACTTTGTCATGTCTCTGGCAGATTTATGGTTGGCTCTTTCTAACAACATGTTGCATTTAGGATAAAAGACAAGTAAAATTATATTTGTTTTAAAGGAGGGTTTTCTTTTTGTATAGTAAGTGGCAGCTAGAACAAAAGAATTGAGGGATGCATTTGAGGGCATGGGACAAAATGAGTCTTTTGCTGACAGATTTGCAAAATGAGTTTGAGTTTTACTTTGAAATCAAGCCAAAACTTTGTCCTTGTGGTGCCATGCTGCAAATGGATATCTCTTATTTAGGCTAGGTAATCAAACAAATGTGAATGCTCAATACATGCCTCTCTTCTGTGTTGCTGAAGCTGGCATCATTTTACCAGCAAGCTAATCCAGTGGGCTGATTTGGCTCAGGCAGACCATGTTAGAGAACTGTTACAGAGGTTTTCTTATACTTTTTCCATTTCACTTTTACTATTTAATCAATTCTCTGTTCTCATCCAACATTCAACAATAAATTATACAGACCCTAAAGCCCCCCTGCAGACCTGTACTGTATTTTGGGAAATACGGAAGAGTAAGTCAGGTTGTCCCCTACTTTTTCTGGTAAAATTAAAGTAGTTGTGTACAATGACAGCTCCACCCTGCAAAAAATGCAGGGATGACTGGAGGTCGCTTGTAGGGGACAATACACAGACTTTCCTTCTATGAATGCCTACAAATACTTGTTACCTCAAAAATGCTCAGAAAGTGGTATGAGGAGACAGGGCCATACATTGTGTGAGACTGGGGATCTGCAAGTCTGTCCAGATCAGCCTGTAAAGGCAAGTACTTATTTGGAGAAAATACTTTTTAATGTACTATGTTCTTTCATTTGTGGTTGAAAATTTTGGTTCCAGATGATAACTCTAGGTGAAGAATTCTGGCATTCAACTTAGAGCCAGAGAGTCTGATTTTAGGAAAGGAACAACTGAGCACAGCCTTTCTCTTTAGAGAATCGTCAAAGTTCAGAATGATAAATGGGTAGTGGTGAGGAACTTTCTCCACAGTAACAGAAAATATTGTGCTTAAATTATTACTTAATTGTTATTAAATTATATATACATATATATCTACCCTAAAGTTTATCTCCAAAATGTCGAAACTATGAGGAAAAAATGCATGAGCACTTCTCTCGTTCTTATTGGAAAGTAACAACAAAAAAGTGATATTTCATTTGCCTTTTTTTTTTTTCTTCCTCTCTTAGGTCCGCACCAATGTTCTACCTGATCACAAGGAGCAAAGGCCAGATGTTGGAGTAAGCAAATTTTTTTTCATGAATTGATTTTTTTTTTTAACCTCATCAGCAGACACAGACACCCAGTGAAGAGAAATGGTGTTCTTCCTAGCTGCTAAACAGGGCCTGGCAAGCTTTTTAATAATTGAGTTAAATGAATAAAAAATTCAATTAATGTAATCCCATTCACATATTTCTTGAAAATCTGGATGAGACTGAGATCTTGAAATCGCATTGCCTGGGTAAGCCTGGCCTGTCGCCTTCTGGTTTCCATGTGCAGAGTATAAAAAGTTCTGCTGTAGGAGTTGCCTTTGGGTTCACTTTAAGAAATTACACTGGCAGCACATGGAGGACTTATTTTTCTGTGTAGGTCTGCAGAAGTTTTGGCAAAGGTATTGGGAAGGTTAGAACCTCCCAGATAGTATGGGAGTGGGAAATGTTGGTCCTGCTAGAGCTGAATAAAAGACCAGGCATGATCTGATGCAGGTATCAGACCTGTGTCTGCGAAGACTTAAAATAACTGGATTTTTAAATTTTTAGCCTAAGTAGTTGACTTTCTTATGTTACCAGGACTTCCTTGGTGTAGTTTCCAGGACTTTAGCTGGTATTTGAAAAATCTGTATTTTGGCAGCAAGATTAATCTTAGTGAAATAATAGATGTGTTTCAACTTTTCGTATACCTATAATAGAGATTTTTCTCTTTGGCTACCTGAGGTTATTCATCAAACTACTGAAGGCACGTATCTTAAGATTTATAATCATAAGTATCCCACTAGTAAAATTATAGAAGCATGTTACTCTGTAATTAGCATTACAGCAGCAGTTCTGTTTAAAGCCTACTTTTCAAGCCTTTCCAAGTCACTTGCGCAAAGTTAGATTGGTTTGCAGGCTGCCTGTTCGTGCCCCACGGTAGACTATTTGTATCTAAATCAGTATGGAAAAAATATTTTCCAGCATTGAAATTAGACCCCTTGAACATTAGCATAACCCTCTTCATTTGTGTCACGGGATCATTCACAATTTTATTTAATTTTGCAAATAACTCCCAATTGCATTCGCAGGCAAAGAAAATTTTGTTCTAAATAAGCATAAAAATATGAGGCAGACAAATAAGTAGAATTTTTAAAGCCCATAAAATTATTTATCTTTACTTTTATGACCCTGGAAACTACATATGACTCTTGGATATGGTTAGTGGGTACAATGACCACAGCTCCTAGATCATATAGGAGAGCAGTGTAATTGCTTCTTAGCCGTGATCATATGAGGACTCTGACTTAGGGTTCTTAAATGGATTTGTAGTTCTACTGTGCTGCAGAAAGAAGCCCCAAGTGACCCAACCTATGGGAGTTTCATTCCAAATGTCCATCTCCCTCTTTCCAAATGGTAAGGTTGCAAGTACAAGCACTCAAATGCCATGAAAAGCCAGAATAAAGGCTGCTATATAGACATTGTGCTGAGGAATGTGTTCTTATTGTACTAAGAGGGATATGCTCTTGTAAAAAGATAACTAATCTGAGCTAACCATCCCACCATAGAGATTTAGTGAAGAAACACTGTCATGTTGACTGATCTAAAGGAAGACAGAACTATTTGTGTGTTCACACTAGCAAGGCTGTGCATCACTGCTTGTCACACCTGGACGTGTTTCTTGTAAAAGTGTGTGTTTCATGTTGGCAGTGAAAACTAACCATGATCTTGGTTTCTATGACTGAGGTATTTTTCTCTATATATTTCTTATAGGCCTTTTTCTTCACTACTTCCTGTTCAGCACTTCCCAAATCCACTGACTTCCCAACCTTCCCTAGACTCTCAGTTTGAGTCTTTTTTTCTTTTGTTGCTTAAGTGCCAAACAACACACAGGAAATCTGAGCCTGTGTCATTGATGGGAATGAGCCGTAACTGATGACTTTGGTTACCAAGTAGGAGACCAGTGTAGCTACTTGCCTAAACTAAGAATTGTGATTTGAACTGTATACATTTTATATGTGAGAAAACCTATCTTAGTGTAGAGCTTTATTGTTAGCATTCAAACACTCAATATTCAGCTGGCCTTCCTGAAAGAAAACAGGCTGCAGTGTTGGTTGTTTTTTGTTTTGTTTTTTTTTACTAGAGGAAGTTACGCTTCTCGATAGCAACCAATTCTATTTTCTTTTTCCCTGAAGGGGAAGGTTGCTCTCTGCATGCAGCCTGTGTTGACTCAGAGCAACTTGATTCTTCTTTAATTTGTATATCCAAGAACATATCTAATTTAGCCTGGAATTTTACTTTGCTATTCCAACTGTAGAGTAAAATTGGTATGATATAATAAAAACAAACTTTGTGTACTTCTTATTGTTTTCTTGCAAAAATTCAACATAATCTTATGATCTCATTATAATTTATTCAGAGCAAGTAGTATTGAGTTGTATATTTGCAAGCTAAATGGATAGAAGACGGCTGTAGACTGATATTTTCTTTCACGTTGTTCCCAAGGAAGAATACTACTGATGGTTAAGTTAACCAAATGAGATTTTAGCAATGTGCAGCCAGATATGAGCAGAGATTTAAAAATAACCAAAATGCAAAAGAAAATTCATTTGTTGTCTTCTTTGCACTATTTTCTTGATGATATGTGAAGGTGATTTTGATAGAAGGAAAAGATATAGGGTGAGACTTAATTTAACTTTAGACATTCTAGTTTCATTAGCATGTTTCTCTGCACTTGTACTGCACTGAATAGGTCCACCTTACAATGGAAATAAAGGAAACAACTACTTACAAACACTGCCATAAACTAGAGGAATATAACATTTCTATTAATAAACATGACCTGAACTCAGTGTAAGAATACCTTCCTAGCAAATACCTTTGTATTTAGAATATGTAGATGGTAATACCTAAGGCTTCAGGAAAAAACACAGGAAGAACAACTTTGGTAAAACACAAAAACTTAGCGTTTCTTGTAATCTAGCAATTAGAAATATAGAAAGAAGAAGATGCAAAATGCAAATGCTTGTACTGAATGAAAGTTTTCCTGCAGCTGTACATTTTACCTGTTATGTTGTCAGACTGTTCTTAATTAGAAGGAGAGAGGATCTTGCCTGTAAAACCAGAGTTTAACAATTTACAGGTAATCATGCTCCAGGTGTATAAAAAATTTCTACTGGATAGTGTGGTAAACTAGTATATTGGAATGTAATATTTTTTGAGGTACCAAAGAAAGATTTCCAAGTGTGAGGCCAAAAAAAGTAACAATTAAAACTTAAAAAAAATAATGGAGAAGTTATGTTTTGTTTCTACTTTGTTTTATAGCGAAGCTTCCTGGGCTGTACAACTTTTAGAGTAGGAGACCTGGTAAAGTCAAAGGAGCAACAGTTGACCCTTACCCTCAGGTAAGTGTTTTCCTCTGTTGTAAAACATGTTGAGTTAATAACTTAGGACATTTCACATCCAAAAAGCAACAAAGCTGGTGAAGGGTCTAGAGAACAAGTCCTGAGGAGTGGCTGAGGGAACTGGGGTTGTTTAGCCTGGAGAAAAGGAGGCTGAGGGTAGACCTTATTGCTCTTTACCAACTACCTGAAAGAAGGTTGTAACGAGGGAGGTTTTGGTATCTTCTCCCAAATAACAAGTGACAGGACAAGAGGAAATGGCCTCAGGTTGCACCAGGGGAGGTTCAGATTGGATATTAGGAAAGATTTCTTCACCAAAAGGGTTGTTAAGTACTGGAACAGGCTGCCCAGGGAAGTAGTTGAGTCACAGTCCCTGGGGCTATTTAAAAGATGTTTCAATGTGGCACTTAGGGATATGGTTTAGTGGTGGATTTGGCAGTGTTCTGTTTATGGTGGAACTTGATGATCTTAAAGATCTTTTCCAACCCAAGTGATTCTACAATTCTATGATTGCTGCTTGACTGTGTTTGAAACTCCATATTACTTCAGGTATATTAAACGTCAACTTGAAGTGCTTCTATTTCTACCATGCACAAAGTCAAAATGAAATAACAATTCCTTAAGCTGGAGCTTGCCGTGTGTAAGATTAGAAGACACTGGCACAGGTTGCCTAAGGAAGTTGTGGATGCTCCATCCCTGGCAGTGTTCAAGACCAGGTTGGATGGAGCCTTGAGCAACCTGGTCTAGTGGGAGGTGTCCCTACCATGGCAAGGGTTTGGAACTAGATGATCTTTAAAGTCCCTTCCAACCCAAACCATTCTATGATTCTATGAATAAGTTTTTGGTATGATAACCTGTGGAAGAATTGCAGGGAACTTGAAGTAGGGGATGTTCTTTCAAAGTTTCATTTAGAAAGAGGCATAAGGTTCTCTGTTTCATTTGATGTGTGTGGTTTAAAGAATTAATGCTCTACAGTTTGCTTGTTTGGTTACAAGGCATATTTAAAGACAGTGGACCTAATGACTCAAGGTTTCTTTCATGTGATATTGGTCACAGTCTCCTAAACTCATTGTTATATGCAGCTGAACTTAAATGGCAGTGGGGTGGTGATGTACAACTCTAGTGATACAAGGTACAGAGCTGCAGGAGGCTTGGAGCCAGTATTCAAAAACTAGGGTTGGGCTGAACAGATATTTCTTAGAGCTGTGCACTGGAAGAAAATACTTCAGTTTTCACTCCTGGTACTGACTTGCATGGCTTAAGATGTATCAAGATACAAATCAGAACTTTTTGAAGGTTAGGGGAAATCTTTTGCGTGGTGATTTTCAGAATGAATTCATTGGATTTCGTATAGGTCAGGGATTTTGTTGAGCTGATTTTTGCAAGCACAATGGAAGCTTGTTCGGGATTAGTGGGTGGGTACAGGAACTGCCCAAAGGAGGAAAGAAGCTGTAACTAGGAAAATGGAGACACTGGTATATGTTCTGCCTGGGATAGTGTACATAGGTGCTGCAGAAAAGTTGTGTTACATTCTTCTATCTTGTGTGCATGAAGCCAGCCTTGACTTGGCTGAAGGCCCAAGCTATGACCCATTCAGCAATGTTGTGGTACTGTCACTGTGTCAAGGACGCTGCATTTTTTTGAAACAGAAACTTCTTGAAGTATTTTGGGTTTATTACTGCACCTGCCTTCCTATTATAACAATAGTAGTGTCATTTACAGGGCAAAATTAATAAAATGCCTTCATTTTGATTTCTCCGAAACACAGAAACTGCCATGCCTGAAAAGCAGATGACTTTGTTTTCTAACAAACAAAACCAATCAGTTAAAATGTGAACTGACTACTCTCTATGGAAATGCATGGCTAGGTAAACACCTACCAACTTAGAGTTTGTAAGACTCTGTTCTTACAGAATTTCAAGTTATCTCAAGTTCTTTGGGATAAAATTTGCCTCTCTGATTGACATATTGGAAACTTGATCTGAAAGAATGCCTCTGACAGCTGCCATAATAATTGACAGAATGTAAAGTTTCAGGGAACTTTGAAAAGAATAAGCATTTTGTATCTAACCCTTCTAATTTGTAAACAAAAAATTCAGATGGATAACTAATAAGCAATAGATGACAGATTGCCAGGTTAGTTTCGTCTGAACCTCTAAGCCTTTTCAGATTTTATTTTAATTAGTATTTTTAATCTTGTATGTATTCTTTGTGCAGCTGACAGTTGAAGACAAATATTCTAATGATTCAAATTAACTTACAGAGACATGAAATGGTAGGGTTTAGTTGGTGTAATTTTTTTTTTTTTTTTAAGAAGAATATCCTAACCTTTTAAATGTGGGATTGTTTCCTGATTATGGCTATTCAGCAGCACAAAATCGGTAGAAATTATCCACATTTCTTCAATGGCAGTTTAACCAGAGCAGTCTTGTAATCTAAACTTGCTTTCCGCCAATTGCCCTATTATCATTTCTACCCCTCAGGAGGACTGGAGATATACCAAGAGCCTTGTCAGAGCATGCAATTCTGTTTAATTCTTGTTGATGTACTTTGGATGGGAGTTTACCAGGGAGTGCCTGCGATTGAGATACTCCTTTGTTTTTTCTGAAGTAGAGATTTAAGGATCCAGAAATAAGCTCTGTGATGTGCCCTGTAAATATTGGTAATTATAGAACTAGAGACTTGGGATTTCGGTTTCCAATATGAAATTTATAAAAATGGAAGTACCTTCTATAGGCTTAAATGTTTTATTTTGCAATGGTAATGCAATGCCAGTTGCTTCCAGCTTTCTCAGAGGGTTGTGATGATGAACAGGATAAAGTGGGCTATTGAATAAAACAAAAGCCATATTCAGTATCAGAATATTTCTTAATATTGACTATATGTTGCAGTGTGTCCAATTTAAAAAAAAAAAAAAAAGCAAGCATGCATCCTCTTTTCTTTTTAAATAAGACTTAGGTATACTGATTGCTATTGTAGTAATTAATACTTCTTTTTTAGTTGATTTACAGTTTAAGTTCAGTTTAGAGGATCTTTTTTGCCATGCCTTTCTTTTAAGAAGAGCGTAATGTGGTTTTTTTGCTTGTTTGAGGTCTGTGGCCTTTTGCAAAGGGCTAGCAATTAGTACTTCCATTAGCTGCTTCCCTGTGGTGGTAGTTTGTCCTCTTTCCAGGAAGGTCCTCTTTAGCTTGGGTGATTTTGGTATAATTTCCAGTGAATGACATGTAAGAAGCAGCAAAGGAAGAAGATAATAGTTCCCTCTGTAAAAACAAGGTCTGTCTGTCTGAGATGCTCCTCTTAGTAGACAGTACAAAAGTGTAAGTAGGCTACTTCAATATGAAATTAGGGTAATATCAATACCACTTGGATCCTTTGCCCTCTGTAAGCAGGAACTTTATTGCGATGGAGCCAGCCATACAAAAACAAGAACTAGGCTGGAGTGCATGAATTATACAGATCATCTGAGAGAATGTGCCTGTGGATGTCTGTCAATTATGTACTATATAGACTTTCTTTAAACATGTGACTGTACTTGACCTCTTGGACAATATCTATTTGTCTTATCAATCAGCTTTTTTTATCTGTCTTATTTTCATTAGTCTTGGGCAGGACCAAACCTATTTCCTTTAAATAAAGGAGATAAACCATAGTTATTTTTAAAAAATAACTCCAAGACTCCATTAAAGACAGTCCTCCCCACTTGCGTGCCTCCTAAAACTGTCCTCCAAGCACATTATACTTCAGGGGGCCAGAAGACATGTAACTGCACTTCAGTGGTAGTTCCATTTGCAATGTTTATCTAACTAGAGAGAATTTGAAAGCAGCACACTAATTTTTGCAGTCGTTTACATATGCATAACTTCCTTAGCAAATGATGACTATAAAATACTATATACTATATATATTGGTTTTCCCTATTAAAATTCAGTAAAAGTCTGCCTGCAACTAGTTTTATGTGGTCTCCATCCTGAAATTTTCTTTGCTGCTTCATGTCATGTCATCCACCCAGGAAGCAGGTGAAAAACGGCTTGGCTTTGTAAGCCAGGCAAATCTCCCTGACAGTTGAGGTGAAACTTGTTTTGACGTGCACCTTAATCAGCAGTACATTGAAATCATGAAAACTGAGGAGGAATTGAACAGCACAAAGCTTTGTTTGTTTACCTTAGAAGGCAACAGAATGTTATTTACCATCGGACTTGTTTAAAAATGGTATTGATTGCAACAGGCTCCACTGTGAATTCACAGAATAAACATTTATATGCAAGTACAATAGTCTTGTGCTTTCACATTTCAAAAATATATTGCATCAGTGGAGAAAATAACTTTGTGACAATCTGTATGTTAATCTGTACTAATCGCATCTATTGTGTATTATGCTTTGGAGAAAGGGGCTGCTTGCTAGACTGAAAGCCATACAGTTTGCTTTTCAGGCAGTCAGTTATTTATGATTAACTCAGCTATGCAAATACACAGTCTGCTTCTCTTTTTCTTTGTATTCTTGAGCCTTTTTTTTTTTTTTTTTTTTGAAGAAAGGTATGGCCATGGGAACCAATTAGCAGGCCTAAATTTGCATATTCAACATGCAGCAACAAGACTTGATGAGAACAGTGTTGGAGGCAAATGGCTGCTATTCTCAGTCCATCTAGCTCACTTGATTTTCCACCACTAGCTTGTTACCTTCTTTCTCTCTGGATGCCTAGGTCAACTTTTTTACCTCCAGAGGTTTTAAGGTGGGCACATATTACTGCTGCTTGTGGTGGTGCTGGCTAGCTCCTTCCCTCATGTTTGAGACACTGGCCTGGTCATCCTTAAGGACTTGGGATCATAAGAAAATCCATGTGTATAATAAACTTTAATTTTAGAAGCATTACTAAGTAATTGTGATTTTAAACCTGAGCAGATTTCGTGGCAGCTTCAGAAGTCTCTGGGTTTGGCTCAGCGAGTAGAACAATAATGTTGCTTTTAACACTGATAGAAGTATTTTTTTTTAAAGTTCAAAACATAATTTCGCTCAGAATCACCTCCGCGAGGTTCATCAGAAGATGGGTCCTTGGTGACTCCAGCTTAGGTGAGTGCAGTCTGTCACAGGCTTATGGCTGTGGTAGGTGGAGTGAGTACTGCAAAATGCAGTCATATTGGACTGAATGGTTAGGGACGGGCTAAAACTTTGCCAGCTTTCTACCGAAGCCTGTGTCCAATGACACTGGATTCTAAATCTGGTTTAGAGATCACTCTTCTAACACTTTGTCTCCTTTTCATTGATCACATTCAAAATGCAGAAGCTCCGTGGACAGATATCGGGTGATTGGTGCTCCTTGACCCAGGCTGCTAAAAAAAAAATATCAACAGTTTTCAGCCCCATAAGCCAGCTAGAGTTTGAGCCAGTTATGGGCTTCTTCATATTGATGCTTTTTTTAATTTTTATTGCTGTGTTTCCCATCCCCACTGTCTCTGTGCAGGTTTGTCAAGATACAGTCCTTTGTCCTGTGGGTCTATAATGTCTCTTGTCTCGTGTAAGCAATTTGATGCAGGGACAGTCTTCCCTGCACAAGCTTTTCAGCTTTATTAAACTACAGCAAATAAGCTGATTCTATCCTAATGCATTATGAAGTATCCTAAAACCAATTAATTATTCTCCTGATGCTCTGTTGAACAGTGTGTATGTGTGAGATTGTCTCTTCCCGTCTGTCCAGGCAAATGGCATGAAGTGTATACATATGTGTGTGTGCACATGCGCAATACTGTTTCTGTTAATGCAAAGTAAATTTTATGTTATTTAAGTGTGATCTCTAGGCTTTTTTTATTTTTCCCACTGCATCACTTCTGTTTCTCACTTTTAATTTTCTTTCAAGTGATATTTTAATCTCTTGATGTTGCTTGAAAGTTTTAAATGCATGACATGTCTGTTGTTTGAAGACTCTGATGCACCAGTGGTATTTTAAATTCACAGTGTCTGACACGGCTAATGATGGTTTCTCCCTGGACATTTATAGAGCTCTTTGTTGATTTGTGTTCCTAGTAGCATTCAAAAGAAATTTTGGGGTTTTTTTGGTTTTAAATTCTGTTTTCATATTTTTCATGTGGAAACATAAGAGAAATGGAGGAAGGAGTACAACTACCATGCAACAATCCCATTGCTAAGTTTTATTCTTGTTGCATTATCTTCTCTTGCAGATACTGCATGTTTCAGATTGTAATATTATATATGTATTAGACCACAACAGGAGTGATTTTGAGAAGAAAATAATTGAAAAAATTGATATAAAGTGAAATTAGATCAGTCATGTTTTTTAAATATGTATGGAGAAAGCTTCCAAATACATGTTGCTACTCTTGCAGGTAAGCAGTGCAGTGCTTGCTGCAGTACTGAGCAGCCTCTAATTAACAGCAACAAGGGGGAGTATTTAGTATTCTAAAGAAAGGGAGACAAGGACTGAGAAAGCGTAACTGACATTTCCATTTTTATTTTGTTTTACTCGAGCAACATGCCTCGTTGGCTTGTATCAGTTCATTTGCAAACTGAGCTCTGTTTTGACCAACATTTGTTTATACTATTAATTTACCCTAATGTAATTTTAAATCACATCTGGTTTATGTAGGTCTGTCTTAGACTTGTAGGCCTCTTTGGCCTAAGAAATATGTGTTCCCTAAAAAAATGATGGGTAGGATTTTAGTACTGGAAGTCAACAGAATGCAACGTTTTCCTTTCAGACCAGGATACCAGCAAAGTGCTGTTGCATACTTAAGTCAGCCTGGTAATGAGATCATGTACTTGACACTTTGACTAGGACATGTTAAGCTGTTGAAAAATTTTCAGCCTTATAGACACACATTTACTCTGATTTTTAAAGGCATATGGGATTCGCTAACATCTGTTGTATCCCTCCCTTTCTCCTTGGCTCCTGTAGTCCATTTGTTGAGGTAGTCTAGTTCGCATGCTGGTTTGGCACAGGAAGGAGAAAACAAATGAAGTCAAATCACTAAGCTGTAGCAACTCAGGGTAATGTTCTTCATTTAGAAGACACTTCAGCTTTTTCATGCATTTCAAAATTATTATGCATTTTTGCTCAGAAACCCCTTTGGACATTGAACCCTTCTTCCTCATTCCTTTTCTTTTGTGTACTTTGTTAATTAATGTAGCCTCCTTTGGTTGCAAGGCTATCTGGAATTGGTTCATTTTTAATCGTTCCTTTATTTTATTGTCAGTAGTTAATTTGGCTTAGAGCAAATAAAGTAGTGACATGTGTAAAATATGTAGAATTATGGGTATTTTGCAAGGTTTTATGTAAGAACATATTTAATTTGTGTAGTTGCAAGATGAGTGTATTCTACTGAGCTGTGTATTAAAGCATAATGGCTTGCAACCAAAATAATTATTTAAATTTGAAGCTTAGGGGTAGCTTTATTTTGGGACTTGAGTGTAAAGTATGGAAGTTTTGATTTAGCGTGATAAATAAGTACCCATGCCTGAAAAGACTAAAGTGTGTGCTTAACTTTAGTCAGTGTAAAGAGCTGGCATACTCTGACTTAATTAAGTCCTTATGCTGCATGCAGAAACACAAACTGTGTAAATTTTTGGGAGCTCAATGCAGAGACAAGGTCCTCTCGCCTGAGCAGAGGCGAGTACTCTGGGAAAGCCAGTGCATGGCAGAAGGCCGCACGGCAAAGCTGAGCTGGGCCTGCCCTGCCAGAGAGCGGGAGACGATGCGTGTCGGTGCTGCCGGAGGCAGTGGGGGTTGGCTTAGAGCCCTTCTGCATCCCTCTGTGTGGTACCACGCCCTGCCCGCCAGTGTACTGGTGCTTGGACTGCAGGCTTTCTCCTGGTTGGTGACATGGGGAAAAGGGTGTATGGGGGATTTTTCCTTCCTTTGATAATGTAATATGAGGCCTAGTTTTTGAAGTTCTGGAAGGGTGTCTCTGTGGACGGGGGTTTTGATGTTTTCTTGCAGCAAGGATGGCCCTGGGAATGGAACAGTTTTTAATGGAAACACTTTTCCAATATTACTCTTTCTGAAAGTAGTTTTTTTTCTTTTCTATTGCCAGCCCTCTGGTCCCTCTTCTATGTATTCCTTTGTCCTGCTTCATCAGTTTTCATCTGAGATGATGCATGATATTGCCCCAAACCCATTTATTTTCATTCTTCTTCCTCCCTGTGCTTTTGCAATTCTGCTAAACTTATTCTCGTCATTTCCTTTTGCCGATTTTTGCTTGGTGGCTGTTGTTATACTTTCCTCATTATTATTAAATGATCTGTTACCCTTCTTTCCTTCCTTTCAAAAAATCCAGCTGTTCAGAATAAGCCAGGGGAGGTAGACTGTGCCATTAACCTCGGTGTTTTGCTATCAGTAAAAGCTGAAAAGGCATTCATTATCTTTCTGGTGTTTAAATGCTTGTTTCTTCGAAAAGGTGAAAAGGTCATGAGCAGTACTCTTTTTTTTTTTTTTTTTTTTTTTGAGATGTAAATCTGAATTGCTATTTATTTTTGCTTAATTGGAAGTAAACTATCCGTGGAGATGATAATAAAGGAATTCACCTGGAACTATATATCATCTTCTCCCACATAGTTAAAGAAATGGGACTGATTCTGAGTAATTACTCTACAGAGGGACTACAAAAGGAAAAGTGATGTTCAGATTAGTTTCGTTATTTTGCTTTAGCACGACATTTATTAATACACTGAGTATGTCCTTTCTTCAGATTATGTCAGGAAACAAAGCAGTGTAATCTGCCGTGAGACTGCAGGTCTTAAGTGGGGTATTGGTGCAATGTTACAGCCCTTTTTCTGATGGTCCACAGAGAAAATAATGTCTAGAATGAAAACTTGGCAATGTTTGTGGATTCTTCCACTATTTATAGCACTTACCTATGAAAACTTTCATTGATATAAAGAATTTGGAGAAAATACAGTATGCCTTGTTGTTAACATTTGCTTTATGATTGTAAATAATGGGTTTAATACAGGTGAGTACAGCTACGCAGAGTGGAGAGGGGACTAAATATTTACTGGTGATATTTTTACTGAAGGAGTGTGATGCTGCAGATGACCCAATGTTATGGGGTTTTTTTCCCAGGACTTCTGATGGTGGAAAGACAGTTGGTACCATTGAAGTCAATCTTGTGAAGATGGGAGAGCTACAGGATGGGGAAACGGACCACATCGCAACAGAAGCCCAGGATCAAAAGGTAGAAGCTCAGTTCATTGCACAAAGCTAGAGTGATCAGCTGTACTGATGCCTAAATTACCAATTCCAAATTGGGTTAAGGACTTAATTGAAAATTTCTGGAACAAAGTATTATGTACACTTAATCTACCTAAACTAAAAATAGATTTTCTTGAAAATGTACAGAGTAATACTCTATCCTCATCTTCCTAGTCCCTCCCCTTCTTTAGGAAAAAGCTGATTTTGACCTCAGCTGACCATATTTAATCACTCCTGAACAAAAAACTGTCCATAGAGACACCCTAAATCTGACTTATTTTTCCCTTAGACAGTTCCTCTGTCTTCCGCCCTTGAAGTCATGTTCACATGGATTTTTATGTGCAACCGTGCCACAATACTGAAAATCTAGAAAGAATGACAGACAGGCAAGCTAAAGAAGACGTGAATCCCCTTGCAAAGGGGCAGGTTCAGCTACATTTCATGGGAACACGCAATGGTGGGGAAAATCAATGGGCGGGGAAGATAGTGCAGCGATGGTGCCTCAGAGTGCTAGCATAGGGCAGTGTTGACCAGAGGATGTGTGTAGGGATTCTGAGTTGTGTTTATGATGTGGGACAAGAGGAAGGACAGAAGGGCTCAGAAAGAGCAAAAAATGCTCTTAAGTAGGCAGGTTGTCACAGGCAAAAGCAGTGGTGACGAGCTGGAGATATGGGGGGAGTGGATTTGAGAGGAATGGAGAACCAAAGGAGAGAGGGTGGAACAGATGGGCTTCCTCTGTGATGACAAGAGGTTTGGGCTTGGGAGAGATTCAGAAATGACTGCTCAGAACGAGGAAATCAAGGTTTGCAGTTAGTAAAAATTTCTTTTTAACTGGGTCCCTGACTTATGGCAACTGACATAACTGTACAGAGTTACCAACTCCTGATATCTCTGCCTCTGCAGCCCCATTTTCACTGGCAGAATATTTGCAGCCCTAATACTATGGTATACTGCTATACACTATGATGTATTCACTTTATTAATGAAAAAAACTAGTTTTAGATAATGCTATATGGGAATGTAAAATTAAGGACTGCATTTTTTTGTTTGGAAGTAACATGTAAGAATGTATTTTTGGAGAAGAGGGCATTGTTCTGAATATCTTTTCTGCTTAGCCAAAACAGTTTGCTTTTGGGCCAAACTCTGAGGATAGATTTTACACTTATTTTTTTCACCATTCTTCTCAAAGGACTTCAATGCCCTTTTAAAACAATGGACTGTGGGACCAGTTCCAAAGAAGCCAACAAACACTGTCAAACCTTTCTGGTTTTGTACTTTGAAACTTCTGCAAGATAAGCAACATGAACTGTTTTTCAGCCTTCTCTTTCATTTTGCTTTTCTTCCATTTCAACATGTACAATGAGTCTTCTGACAAGTATTTGAGGCGTTATTAATGAGTTGTGTCTAGCTTGCAGGAGCCAGAAGGCTTTAATAGCATCTTTCTAGGGGGTTCTAATACTTGTCAAGAAAGACAAGCCTTGTGACAGCTGTATTTTTTGTGGTCTTTAAAGGAGTCTTTAGTTTTTATGGATTAGTTGTATCATGGAGTCTTGGTTTATATGTTCATAGTGAGGAAGCGATTGTGAGAATGTAGAGTTATTTAATTACTTCAAAGAAGTAAGTTCTGAACTAGGTTTGCTAACTCATTGATAAACTATGTGCAGTGGAATTCATCATGGAAGAGTAAGGTGATAGTTAAATTCAATCTGAGATATCAGCTGGTAGAGAGTATATCATGTCTTGGTCTTTGCTTCAAACTCTGCAACAGAACATCTAGAAACTGGGGAAGCCCTGGGAACAGAGCTCCTTATCACCTTTAGAGCCTATCAGTTTTTTTTTCTGACTTAGGGGAGGAGCAGCATTAAAAATATACTTCCTAGTACAGCAGTTGATTTTTCCCTAAACTTTTTATACTTTTATACACTAATCTTATAAAAGAAATATTCCAATTCACTTGTATAGCAAATTGCTTTAATCACAAATAGAGAGCACAATTTGAAGACTTTGTGGTTCCTGCTTTTCCCTTGTTTAATAATTCACGGAGTGCTTTCTGACACTGTGCATGTGAAAGCTGCCTTGTCAAACCTCTCTGAAAGCACATAGCTTATCAAAAATTACTTTAACCTCTACCACTGTATTGGTAGGAAGCCTTTTTTTATGGATTATTATGGAATTTTTATGGTTTATTATGGAATAGCTGATGATATTTTGCCATTTTCTCTGCTATAATTGGAAGAGAAGTATGAAGAGAAAAATGTAAATTATAATTAAGGGTTGGGAAGTTATATTATCAATGATGTTTTTCAGTCTGACACAAACTGCAATGAATTTCCGTATGACACCTCAATGTTTTACATTTGTGGTTGCATTTCTTTTGTAGTGTGCATTGGTTCGTGAATGTACAGCCACTGAAGGCATAAGTGGTAAAGACAACTCGCCTTCATTAAATGCAGGTAAGTATTCTAACAACCATAAAAGATGACTGTTGCAACACTATGTTAGATCTTGAAGAAATCACAAAGATTTGGGTCAGAGCTCTTGAAAAGGTTCCTCAAATGATGCACAGATTTTTAAGTTTAATGTTTTGTGCTTTATCCATATCTGACAGTATCATTTTACTCAGAAACGTGAGGAAAACTTTCAGAAATGTATGTCAATTATGCTTTCTGAAATACTGCTAAAATCTCCCACTCCTACATCTTTACCGTTCGATGATTTTCGAGACTGTCAGTGACTTCAGTGGGCATGGAATGAACCTCATAAGTTTTTGTCATGTCATTGCATGACATTCCGTTAAAGTAATTATGCATTATTTGTAACTGAATACCCTGGAAAATTAATCTCTTTCATAGATTATGAAGTGGCAATTTCAGTTGGATCTGGAAGCTGTATGTCCTAAAATGAAGGAAGCTGTTGGCAAGGCATTCTCAGTTCTGGGTCAACTCTGGGCTTGACTGTACAGTGTTGAACTAGATCTATTTCTCTTTCATTATACTGAGAAATATTACATGCTGATATGCTGGACCATAAAAGTTTTATTAGCCTAAGTTTATGAATCTCCATTACTCTGCAGTAACAATGTCAGAAATAAGTTATATTGGTCATCTGAAACCACAGGGCTGTCAAGAATTCTGTGTATTTGCTGCGTACAGTTGAGGAGAAATGTTACTGAAGTTTTAAAACCTTTACTGAAACTTTTTCATATGACCCCACTGATAGGACAGACTTATTAGACTGGCTTTGCAGTCTGAAGGAAGCACTAGAAACCTACAAAAAATGGGTTTTTACATGAGTGGATGGATGCTCTAGTTTTTTTCTGTGATTTGTTGAGACTAGATCAGAAGCAGGGAAAAATTTCTTCTTCAGAACTGCCATTTCTTTTCATCAGTTCAATGTGGGACTAGATATGTGGAAAAGATATTCACTGGGAATTACTAAATGCACAGGAACTACATCTATCTCCGGAAATTCCTCAACTGAAAATAGCTGGAGGTGGGGAGACTATCTTGCATCTCTAGGTATCTATTTATGGCTCTTCTTGGAGACAAGACACAGAGCTAGTTGAATGATTTGGTCTAACACAGTGCAGCCATTCTTGGATTCTAATTCTGTATGTCATCCAGATAAGTGGGTCTTAAAGAAATTACATTAATGTTCAGAGAAAATGTTACTGATTCACAACTGATTTTTTTCAATTTGCTGACTCCATTGGTAGGTTCGATTGGGGCTTTTTGTTGATTTTTTTTTTTTTTTTTTTTTTTTTGGGAATGCTGTAGTTTGGAGAGTATGTTTTGTTGTAATTGTTGGAACCTCTGAGGTAGATGTCAGTTTTATGAATAATGAAGTCTAGATCACTTTGTCAAGAGTATTTGCACATGATTCTATAGTATATCTAGACAGTGCTTAGTATTTCTACATTTATTGCTCTCATGTACAACCACAAACTACAAGACCAAAACCCCCACCCCACCCACTATTGCTAGTGTTCATAATGTCAAACATACCATGGAGGTTTTTTGGGTTGTTTTTTTTATTTGTTTTAAAAGAGTTGAGGGGAAAGAGCAGAACTGCAGATGCATATGCAAGAAATGACAGCACACAGGATATTAGAAAGAGTTTTCAGTCACAGGAAGTTTGTTCTAATAAACTCTTATTCTTCAGTCTGTTTCCTGTACTTGTGACTTCCTTTTCTCACCCCAGCATTGCCTCCACTTCCCTGTTGACACCTGGCACTAGTTCCATGTTTTGTCAGTCCCACTCTTTTTATTGAATTGCCTCTCCTTTTATACTCTCAGCCTCTTTGCCCAGCCAGTCAGACTTCTTCCCCAGCATGCCTCCATGACTAGGCTTCATGTGGATCAAAGCTCTCTGTGTTACCTGGAGACTGGCTTTCTCATATGGGTACCAGTGCTGCCCTTAAGTGTATTGTACCACACACTAGCTCTGCCCAGAAACTTATTCAGCCACTCTGTATGAATGACATGCACGCAGTTTTGTTGGTGTTAGAAACTGGGAAGAATGCAAGAATTTTCAGTATAGACCCTTGGTGCATGTATGAGGTGTTAAGTTCAAGTTTTGAGTTTTTACATACTGAGGTTTCTTTCCCAAGGCTTGTGTCATTGTCAGATCTGGGTGGATTGCTGTGGATATGGTAAAATGAACATCTCTGTAAAAGATCTGCTGTCAGAATTTGAGTTTATAAAGCACAGAACTTTCTGTTGCAGTTTTTTGGCCTCATTCTGTGCAGTTGGACCATCTTAACTGAAAATTTCAAACAATAATCAGTTTAAGCCAGGCAGATTTCAGAGTGGCAAAATTAGAGGCAATCAAAAACAAGGACTAAAGGGAAAGGAATGATATTAGTAGTGTGGTAGAACTATATTACAGGCAACCTGATACGTCAACATTTCCTGCACTACTGTGTGTGTACTCTCTGTACGCTCCCTGCTGTGTACATACAGAACTACCTACAGGACAACATGTATTTAGTACATGTGTATACTGTTGTAAAGATTTCTGGTTCTTTCTGTCACATGTTGTTTGTCAGGCCTTCAAAACTATGAAACTGAAAAAAAAACCCTATGTGAATCTTTAAGCCTGTAGGCATAGATGCACATTGGCATTCTTCTGAAATTTAAATCTTAATATAAGGAACTCGCAGCCCTCAAGTGAGTTATGAGGTAGCTATTGAGTGAGTGGGAATGAGTATCATATTTCACAGAGGCTTATCACTATTCCATTTATACCCCAAGAGATTGAATTTATATGTCTCAAAATTCATTTATTTATTTATAACACTGGGGAGTTTTCCAGTCGTTTGCATGTAAACATATTGCACTTTACAAAGAAAACAGAATAAAAGCAATTGAAATTAAGCAAAAATTAAGACAGTTGAAAGTATTCTTCCTGACATGGTGTACATAATGCATCTATGCTACAAAGGAAGATATAAATAGAAACAGTGTTAGTAAATTAGTATGTGGCAGTGGTATGCTTTGATCTATGTTCAATAGGGAACAAAAATGAAAACCAAGTATTCAATCTTTTATTAAACTTTTACTTTACTTGCAGGGGAAGCAGTGTGAAGGATATTGCATGGAATAAAAAGCACAGAAGTCTTTAAATTTAAAAATGAGAATGTTCAAAAATATGGATGGTTAAATATATGGTGTTGGCTTTTAAGCTTCATAATATAGAGAAAGGCTTTTAAAGTAGTTTTTTTCTATTTTTGACCACTGCAGTTCATATGTATGGATTATTTTTTTTTGCAGTGCCTTTTGTGATCGCTGTCTAACTAGAGGAAGCATTACCTTTATGAAACTTTCACTTTTTTAATAACTACTTTTTATCAAAGCCAACTCTAGTCTTGCCATTGTTACTGTTTGAGTGGTTTTACATGCCTTCTGGATTTCTTTTTTAGACAACTTGTTGTAATTAGAAAGCAATTATTGCTGTAATTGGAAAGAAAAATACATCTGAGAGTTTAATGGAAACACATGACTTCAGTAGTTCTGTTTATAAGAAAAACATAAAGTACTGTGCAGCTCTTATTTACAGTCTCAAGCTTTAGCAATTGGAAATGGGAATTACTGCGCTTCCATGTGAAAACAAAATTCCCAGACTTTTTTCTGAGTTTGTGGATGAAATTTTATTCATAAACCTATGGAGAGATGCTTTGGCCATTTTTTAAAACTTGCAACACACTTGAGTTTATCCCCATCTGACAATTGAGACTCAGAGGTAGTACCTGAAGAGCAGTTTAATAATTCTAACAATGATAAAAGTCACAACTTTGGATCCATATTTTCAAAGTGGTTCCTAGTCTCCCTTGCTACTATACTGTAGTCCCATTGGTTTTTTTGATTTGGTTTAGTTTTTTCCTGTAATGGTGGTGGTGATAGTGGGGAGATGGGAGGAAAGAGATTGTGGAACTACATATGTGTATTCAGTTCTCACAGACAAATGTGAATTTTTGAATGTAATAGATTCTGAGTGCAAATTTAACTTTGCTAACTTCTTAGGAAGTAAATATTAAAAGGTAAAATAGAGAAAAGAACTTTTTGTGTCTGGAGCATCATGATTTTAAAAGTCCTGGTAAAAAGTATCAACCTACTTCCTAGTGAACAGGTAGCACTACAAAAAAAAAAACCCCAAACAAACCAAAACAAAACAAACAACCAAACAAATCCTAAGCAACCCAATATTATTATGTTTTGGCAGGTTTTTGTTTAAGGGCAGACCTGAATTAGCCCTTAGTTTCTTGAGCTGACCCTGACATCTGAAGATTGTCATTTCCTGTCTTGTTGTGGAAGATGTTCGGTGTCGTGTATCTACCTTGTGGATTGACAGAGGCTGTCAATATTATTGACAAAAGTGAAATTGTTAATTAGAAGAATCTCAGCAAAAGAGGAGGAAAGTAAGAAAGCATTATAGCATATTTCAATTAAGTAATAGAATAAAGCCCACACACTGGGTGTAAGCTGACCACAGGCACTGGACTTGAAGATGCTTTTTTTTTTTTTTTTTTTGTAGCAGACAATAGTTAAGTCTGTGCAGTGAGGATTCTCAAGCTGTAAAATGTATGTAAAGATGCTCGAACATTGAGGTATTTTGGGTGTTTGTAGTAAAGAAAAATTACTGTTATTCATATGGCATAGCTATCAAGCATCTTTTAGGCTTATTTCATAACAGTAAGTAAGAATTTAGTTTCTGTGAGTAAAATCCCTAATAAAGGCAAAATAACTCAAAAGGCTTCCAGTTTCTCATCAAACACTAATGATCAGAGAGATCTCAGCAGAGTGATGGGAATAGAAAACAATACATCTACAATTACTTAAACATGATTTACAACATTCTTTTCTTTTATGAGCTGCCAACAACTATTTTATTATAGATATCTTTGAATCTATCGTCTTGTTTTAGGCCTTTCCTAAAGGACTTCTGTTAAAAATCAGTTTGATTAGGTAGACAAGACAGTGTATGTATCTTCAGTAACTTGGTCTGTGTTTTTCATTCACTATGAATCAGCCTACATAGGTAATAATGGTGGCACTGAGTTGTGAAGCTGAGATTCCTATTAGTAGATGTCATTTTGACTGCAAGAGTTTCCTTGCAGCACACATGGGAAGTGCATTCCTTTCAGATATAGATCATTCAGTGGCAGATCAATGGGAGCCTGCTCTAAGGCAGCTTTTTCCAGAAGGGTGACAGAAAGGTACTATTGGAGGATTTGGATGGCTGTCCAAAGTCATTCCAAGTCAGGATGCAGTGGATGTGTGTGTTAAATGACAATCATTTGTCTCCAAGTAAGCTTATCAAAGTAGTCAAACAAAACCTTTTCTTTCTCAGCTTTTTTTCCATTTGCTTTTTCTGGAAAATTAATTAAGAGTAGCGGGGTGGGTGCAGGGGGTGGGAAGGAGGAAAGGAGAGAAATTTCCCACCTTTATTATAGAGCATCATTGTAAGGTCTGACTGGAAACAAGGCCAACATGTGAGAGCTTTAATGTAAAGAACATGGTGGGTTTTAAGCATAAACTTCCAAGACATCAAGTAATGCAATTTTCCTATGTCAAGTTACAGAAATGGTTTGAGAACATTGTGTGTAATGTATTTACAGGATTGTTATATTTATTTCTGTATAGTGGCAGTCTCTTGACCATGTCAATGGTCAAGTTTCCTTTAATGTAGATGCACACCATCTATTTGTATTAATGATGTCTGTGTGTGGAGAAGATGCATCAGATATAGCTAAACCTGAGACATGCTTCACTTGTCCCATGCAGTTTATTAGCAATGTGAGTGATTCTAGCAGATGGTAAGCGATGATGTTGACTGTATGTGAGTTCATTGTATATTTGTCCATTCTGTTTTTCCTAACTGTCTCTTAAGTGTAAGAATAGTGAGCATAATTTACATTCTCACTACACCAAGATGCTAAATTCACAGGATACCTACTGTGCGAGTAAAATGTGATTTAGCTGCTGTACTAGCAATACTTTGTCCTGCACATGCTGCTGTAATAAATAAAAATTTAATGTTTTTAATAGAATTTTAATGGTTCTAAAATTAATTCTGGAAGCAAGGGAGGAAATAATGTATTATTTTTGGATGAAATTGTTGTCATAAATTTTCAGAGTCATATAACCACAGTAAAGCAATGATATAATTTTTCCTCTTCGCAGTGTTAAAAAACCCGATCTGTAAGTTATATAGATTCCCTACTTCTGACAACAAGTGGATGCGGATCCGGGAACAGATGGCTGAGACCACCCTCTCTTTCCATGTTCCTAAAGAACTCATCAGTCTTCACATAAAGGAGGATATGAGAAGGTAAGGAAGAAATAGCAATCGCAAGTACTAAATTTTATTTTTGTGAGTTGGAATAATGTAAGTGATGAGCTAAAAATTATAAATTGTGGTATGAAATAGGCAAAATATAGCTATCTTTTTGGCTGCTAAGAATTTACAGCTGTAGCTGAACAACAGAATTGATTGCTCAGAATTTTTAGGACTCTAGTGACTTGAGTTCTGAGCAATGAACTGTGCTAGAGTGCAGTCATGACTTTAAATGTGTAAGCATCAAGATTTGATTAACAACATAAATATTCTGAAAAGTTCACATTTTATAAAGAAACAACACATGGCAAGGGTGTGAACTACATTGTAGTGTGTTTGGCTTTGTGTCTGGGCAGTGCTAATATTGCAGACAAACATTATGGAAGCAATGAAAAATGACATGTTTGTAGTTAATAAAGAAGCAATGAAAGTATAAATCACATTCCTTTAACTAATAAAAATTAGTTGGCATGAGAAAAGGATAACAAAGCAATGTAAGTTTGAAACCTTTGTTCATATTTGGCCTTGTAACCAGGAGGGAACATCTGAGGATCATTCCAATATGTATGGCCTGGGAAAAAAGAGGATAGGGAGCACAAGTGTCCCAAAATCTTTTGAATGTTCAAATTCCTACTGCAGCAACTAAAATGCCAGCCTGTCCTTGAATACTTGTAAGCTGTCCTGATACAACTGCAGAAAAAAGCAATGTTTTAAGCAATCCAGGGCTTCCCTGAAAGCATACCTTCTTTTCCCGATGATAATGGATGGTGTAGAAGAATATATTGCCTCTTTT